GGCCCGGCCCCCTCCCTCCCTCCCCATCCGCTCTGTCTCCCTCCCTCTCCCTCACGCTCCGCGTCGTTCGCCCGCGGACAGCTTTCTCTCCATAGCCTTTGCCTGCATTCCGGGGCGTTCCGGGGCGTTCCGTCGTCGTCGTCGCCGTGCGCGCGCACGACGCCGCGGCGTTCCCTCGTCGTGGTAATCGCATCGTGAGGCGTGGCGCGAGGCGCTCACCAACTCTATATTCCCGACGGAACGCGTCGTCGTCGCGAGGAGACATCAACGCGGGAGCCCCCCGACAAGCCCAGCCCTATACAGCCGCGCCCCGCCCCGCCACGAACGCGCAGCGTGCGAGAATTTACACCGTATCGACCCGAAGCAGACCCGAGAAAATCAAGTTGGAGGAGCAGGCAGCAGCAGCAGCGGCTGCGGGTTCGAAACCCTGCTGCTCGCGAGGCGTTGCTCGCGCTCTCTCGCTCTCGTGGCGCGGCACGGCGAGAATAAGGGTTCCGCGCGGCCCGGCGCCGCCCCGAGCCTCCCACACAAGCGCGCACAGCATTATTAATTAGCAGAAAAATCTTTTCATCATGAGAATAAGGAAAAAGAAGATAAAAGAAGCGGCGCAGCGGCGAGGAGGCGCGGCTCCCTTCTCTCTCTCTCTCGCACGCACGCGCGCACACACACCACATGCACGACGGGCACACAACACACATCATCAGACTCACCTGCATAAGGGCGTTGCCGAGCGACACGCCCTTCTCGTTGACGACCTCCTCGGTGAGCTCGGAGTGCGCCAGGATGTGCTCCGACAGTACCGTCTCGGCGTGCTCCGACATCATCGGCTTGACGACGTACTGCTGCGCGCCGATCACCTGCGACACAGGACAAGCATGCGTCAGCAAAAGCCGCAGCGGTACCTCAAAACGCGGAGGGTAAAAAAAAATAAATACAAAAAATGGCGCGCAATGCTTTTATGGTTTTAGCCGCGGCGCTGTCGTCTCGACTCCATAGAACCGCAGCAACACTCGGGTCCGACCGGGTCACCTCGGCCAAGGTTTCCCCGCCAGATAATCAGGGTTTCCCCTCTCGATTCTTTTTATTTTTCCTCGTCGGTTCAGTCATTTGGTACACGTTGGTGGATCATTTGGCGCAGTAGACGGAAAACGAGGGGGGAGGGGCGGGGACGGGGCGTGACGGGGCAGGGACTCGTTTGTATGAACGAGAACTCTTAACCTAAAGGCCACCTTCTTAATTATAAACTGTTAAAAATATGTTGTGATTCCCAACACTTTCTCGAAACGGAGCAAACTGTTGAAATCCCAACGCTTCTTATTCGGAGTAAAAAAAACAACAGTATTTTGATATCTTAATTTGAAAGAGTTGTAGACCTCTGAAGTTCATCCGTTTTTAATAACGGAGAGTTGTCGCAACTTTTTTCTCAGCGGATTCCTCGTGAAGTTCGTTTCGTTTATCAAGCATGCATCAAGTGGTGTAGAAGTCCAACTGAATGTCCCTTCCTATTTTAAGTTTCTTGCTCAACATTTCAACTTGGTCCGATTAATGTTTTCAACTGTACAGAACAAGCACGCAGTGGTTGCGTTTGATTTCCCCTCGGCTCGGCCGGTCACATGTTTAGCGCGCTGTTCATATGTCAAGGGCGCCTGCCGCGCGACCCGCTAAATTTCTCATCCACTTCTCACCGGGCGTCGAGTCGAGTGCGTGTTTCCTGCTAAACGGGCTAAAGATCACTCGGTAGGGCATTCTTCACTTGCGCTCCTTGTCCACCACGACGTCGTGCGTGGTAAATGAGGTGAGTTAAAAACCAGAGGGATGGCAGTTCGCATCGCCCACTCTAGCTCCACAACACGGCACCACGCTTTGCATTGCTAACATTTCACGCTCTCATTCTGCAGGGCAGCAGCAGCCTGCCTATGCAGCCCAGCCAGCCATGGGAGGCCTCCCGTACGCTCCTCGGCCCGGCCGGTGCATCAGATGAGACATGCAACGTTAAAAGGTCCCATGGCTCTCTCAAAGTAGACGAAAGATGGAGAGAAGAGGAAGGGGGGGAAAAAGAATACGAAGAAAATGTGACAAGGCCAGGATTCGCCTCTTTACACATATATAGAGGCGTTCGATGCCTGGGAAGAAAAACAGCCTTTTTTCAGCGAGCTGTGCGGAGGGGGCTTTACGACACACACAGACAATGAATGGGAAGCGCCGCGGCAGGAAAAACTTCATTTGAGACGGCCGCTTTATTCACAACACTCTCCTCCGCGCGACCAATAAAGCGTTATGCGGCTGAGAAAGGGAAGGACTTAACACTTTATCCCAGAGCCGAATCAAAAATATACATATGCATTAAAAGACGGTCACGGCGGTGTTGCAGAGCAGCGCTGCGCTGTCTCCAAACGCCTCACGTCACAATTTGAGCACTGTTAAAACAAGTGTGCAAAATTTGCACGTGCAAGTTATGATGTTGCACATTACATGGTGTTTAACTTAAGTTGCATACTTGTTCAAATTGGTGTTCAAATTTTAGACGTTTTGTTAAGATTGGACACACATTTCTATGCTATCAATAGGAACCATATGGTGTGCTGCTGCTATACTTCTGCGTAAGTGTCGAAAGTTTAAACACCAATTATTGACTTTTCACCTAGTTTGACACCACAATGTGTCGAGAAAATGCACACTTGAACTTAAACATCAATTGACGTGCAACATTAAACAATTCTTTAACCAGTGTCAACATTCCGGCCCCAACAAGATCACTTTGACGTCAGTAATGTGATGTCAGTAGCGTTAATGTAAACTCTTATGGACTTGAGGCCAAGGCCGCGCCGGGTGCACATCAAGTGCTTCGTGAGTGAGGGATGTGCTCGGTGAAACTGGTGACTGTCCGTCGACTGTCGTGCAAGTCGACAGAGTGCCGATGTAAAATTTGTATAGTTCCGTGTTACATTAGGGGGGGGGG